GGGTCGGGGTGGCGGGGCGTGGCGCCACTGCTGCCGGACACTCGGTGGATCAGAGCCTTTCATCGGCCGGCCCCAGCCCAGCGCCACGGCGCCACATTCAATAACCATATTCTTCCTCCTCCGCCCTCGTCCTCTCTTCCCGCCCGGCTTCCCCTACATCGCGCAGTAACCCCCCCTCCCCTCCCCCTCATCCTCCTCGTCGACTACACCCTGGAGACTCCAGCGCGCTGACCCTCCGAGCAACTGTAGAGAGAATAAGCTTACATCATCTGGGGGGAGCCGGGACGGGCATAGAACCACGCGCAACCATTCCCGCCCCGACTTCGTATAGAGCGTTACACTCGTCTCCAGCCCTCGACCTGACACTTACATGTCACCCTCCAGCCCTCCTCGCTCGCCCTCTTCACTCGACTTGCTGCACCGCAGACCAGTTTACGCCTCAGCTTCCGTCTCCGGCTGCACGCGTCTCCCCCCGAGAGTGCTCGCGATTGATCCCCGAGAGCCTTGCGCCCTTGCTTCCAGGCGCGCGAGCGCATAAATGTTTCAGTTATAGGTGGGAAAACACTTTTACAACATTGTTATACGGCCGTGTTTGACAGCGAGTTATGAAAATAAAGTGGCGCGCCCGCCCCCTTTACGCGCCTCGCCGTTTCATTTATCGTTTCGAGACGTCGTCTCTTGTTTCGACAAGGCCCCCGCTCTCCAGTCGCAGTATAGTGCATTTTATCACCGGCTCCCCGTTATTTCTTGTTGATAAAACATCTCGTCCTCCTCCGGCTGCACCAACACTGCAACACTACCACCTCGGGAGAACCAGGTCGCGGCAAAGGAGTGTGTGTGTGCGTGTGTGTGTGTGGAGGGGAAGAGGGGGACAAGGAAGGAGAGGAAAGTTGGTGAAACCCCAGCGAGTTGACTATCGCATATGCCCCGCCTTACAAGGCTTACGAGGTACTTAGGCCCCACGTCGTGGGTGCGCGCGTGCGCACGTGTGTTCTTGTCCGTAATCGGGCGTAATTGTTTTAAACAGGTCTTGTAATGCCGCTCTATCTCAACACGGCCCTGGCTGTGCTGCTAATGACTATTTGACGCAGCAGCAGCAAGCAGGGCCACCGTTTTCGGCGAAGGAGAACGAGGACAAGGGAGAGGGGGGAGGGGCATACGGCGGGGGTTGCTAAATGCTCAATTTCATTCCCTTTTGCTGACTTCTGTTAACTGGCTAGTGCGCGTGGACTTGCGACCCACACACACACACCTGCTTGGGCTCACGATGCGGTGACGAGCAGCAATGCCTCGGTCCGCTACTAATGCCCCCAGCCAAGCCGCACCGCCATTTCCAAACTTGGACCCAAAGCAGCGGCGGCGGCAGTGAGCGGGAGGAGAGGGGAAGTGCGCAGAATATGTAAATTCTAATTAGGGTAACGCACAACAATAACAGCCTTGGTGGGCCGGGACCAGGCTGGCCCCCGCGCGCGCTCTGGCCGGCGGGCCTAATGCCCGGGACAAGTAAGAGCCGCCGGCCTGGAGGGCGGGGACGCGACGCAAAGGACACGGCACTTAATGAGGGAGGAATTCGTGCGCATCTAAAGCTAATTACACTTAATCTCCGCGCGGAATGACCAGCACTTACTAATGCGAGGGCGGCGCGCGGGGTTGTGGGGGGTGGCGGCGGGGTCCGGGCCAGGGCCGGCCGCCAGGGGGCAGAAGCTCGCCCTGCTCGTACTGCGCGTACCGCTCGTAACGCTAATACTCCTGAACGAAAATCACTGCTGCTACTGCAACTGATGTTGCTGTTGGTCCTCGCGCGGCGTTGGGCAACGGGGTCACCCGTATTGTAGCCCCGCGAGGTCGCACCGCGGTGTTGGGCAACCCCAGCGGCTTTGCTGCAAGGTGCCGCGCGGGCGGCGCAAACAGACAAAATAGAAAGCATGGCAGAAAAGGAGGAGGCGAAAATTGAGTCCTAATTCGACAATCATTGCTCGTGGTTAGGGGTGGTGGTGCTGGGGAAGGTGGGTGCAGGTGAACGTTGATGTGGAAGGAGCAGATGATGCTTGAGCTTAGTGCTGGATGGCGCTGGTGGTCGGTGGTGCTGGAGGCGACAGGATGCTGAGGGTATGGGCATTAATGGAGCTGTATAATGAAGGTGCGTGATGCTTGAACTGGATGATCCTTGAACTATATGATGCTCGGACTGGAGCATGCTTTAACTGGATGATGCTTGAACTGGATGGTGCTTGAACTGGATGATGCTTCGATTTGATGATGCTTGAATAGGATGATGTTAACTGGACGATGCTTGAACTGTATGATGCTAGGGGTTTGTGGTGCTGGAGCTGGTGGCTGCTGTTAGAAGTGGCGGATGGGATGGCTCTGGAGGTGCTGGTGGCGGTCCAGGCAGGCAGGTCCTGAGCTAATCTGCATCATCAAGGCGGGCCCGCTGGAATATGTCGCCGCGGCGCACCTCCCGCATAAGAACGCACATTTACCACCCCGGGCGGCATAAAGCCAGGCACCCCCCTACTCCCCCCCACCCGTCTCAAACCCCAGCACGAGCACCGCGAAGTGCTGTAGAACCAACCATGAGCAAGAACAGCTCGCAGGCGGGCGGGGAGGGGCGTTAGCAGCGCCCGGGGCCGCCGCTGCTGCGGTAGCGGGGCCGACATCATCTGCAAAATGTGCCCCCCATTGTCGAGACCATATTAGCCGCTACTGCCGCTGCCGCCGCCACTACGGCCCCGGGCCCTCATCCCCCAACGCCCCACCACGCCCGCCCCGCTTGGCTTGCTGGCCGGAATGTCGGTTTAATGCTCGGAGCCATTTAAGACGATAAAGACCCTTAGTTTTTGGCATGTTAAAGGAGGAGTTTATATTGCAGCCCCCTCTCTACCCACCAACCTTCCTCTCTCTTCCCTCTTGCCCCGCCATCCTTTCCCTTTACTTTATCCCCGATTCCTTCTTCACACTGTCGACATCGCAAACAGTGTGTCGCGTCCGCTCCACGAATCTTCTGATAAACTGCGCGAAAACCTCGCCCACCTCTCTTGCCTAACGCTTTGATAATCCATTTAAACTTCTTTCAAGGGAACCTTAATCGTTCTAGAAGGTCGCCGATTTAGAGGCTGCGCTCTTCCACTTCCACCTCCTGTCGGTTGGCTAGTACTGTATAGCGATTAGGCCTGCCTGGGCCCATCCCACCATCACCACGCCATGGACCACCCGGGACCACCTGGATGCTGGAACGTTCTCAAATAACTCTGGCACAGCTCAGCGCCCTGCCAAACCACACCGATTCCCCCCTCTCTCACTCCCACTTGCTCTCTTCCTATCTCTGCTATCTTCTATCACGCGGCCTTCACAGTTGGAGCCAAACCAAAACCGCAATCCCAATATTTTCCGCATACAGCAAATGTGCAAGTTGTGCGGCCTACCCCCCCCCCCCCTTTCCCTTCGTCCCTCCCCTTGTCCGAAGATGGAAGGCCAACACCTGCAAAGGGTGCGAGGAAAACAGACGACATGGATTATTCGACACGAAATGGCCATCAGTGACTGCGCGATAAATCCGTGTAATTGGCGGAGCACTATCTCCCCTTAGATCTTGGCAGCAAAATCCTGGGAAAAGACGCAACCGTCTCCATTTCTTTCAACTGAGTTTCCGAAAGCCTTCAACATTTCACTGTAAACTCTGTGGGGAATTAGGAAACAGAATTTGGGCATTTTGTTAAAAATCCCAGATTAAGACATTTGGCCCCAAAAGAAAATAATGTATAGCTGACATTAAAATTGAATGAAGAAATCTTGGCCTCCACAGTCACCTCAGAGTTTCTCAGTGTCTATTTATTACTTGTTAGAAAACAATAGTACTCTAGTTAATTTCTAACCCATTTAAACCCATGCATTATCAGCATAGTCACGCGAGAGTTGCACTTCCTGACAAGGCATTCGCTCTTCATTACAGCAGCCTAGACACGCAGAGAGAGAGGGAGAGAGAGGGAGAGAGAGAGAGAGAGAGAGAGAGACCCGCAGCCGGATCATCTGCCCCTCCCCCCCTCCTCTTCCGCTCCCCTCCAAGCCGCGATAGAGAGAGGGAGAGAGAATGAAAGAGGAGGTGGAGGCGCCGCCTTGGTCTTGGAGCATGCGCGACGCCAGCCAATCAGTGACGCCCATTCCAGCGGCGGAGGCGTCGCTGCGGCAGCAGCAGCTGCAAGCGGCAGCGGCGGCGGCAGGGGCTGTGGCCATCACCATGATTATACGTCTGCTTTATCAAATCATACACAGCGGCGTCTTGTCTGCCTCCTACTCATTCCCTTCCGCTACCGCGTCGTCCCCATCTCTCTCTTCTCTCTCTCTCTCAATTCATAGAACATCATATCATTCTCGGGTCCTGAGCCCGGACATGCACCGGACCTTTGGTTGGGGTGAGAATTTAAAGGGGGTACAGAACGGGTAGTGATCAATGAATTTCTCATCGCTTGCCC